GGTTGCATCGTGTAGTCTGGCACGTATTAACTGACATAGATGAACTCACTGTGTCCATCATCAGGTGTGTCGTCCCAGAAGACATTTTTATCTTTGCTGTCAGTTAATGGATGTGGTGGCTGTAAGAATGCGTCAGAACTTAGTTTAATTTAAGTTTTGTCCGTGCTTAAAGTCATTGCAGTTTCAGCCTATTGCTAATGACTTAGAAATTCTGACTGCTGTGGTTCATTCACTTCTGTGAATGACCAATGAAGCCAACAACACTTTTCAAAGTTCTCCACCTTCATGATTGAATTAAGATAATTTTTATATTCAATTCTTTCTGATTTGGTGCTGTATTTAGGTGTAGATGGTTATATAATACTTAGAGGCTGTTACTGATGATAATTTTGTGCAGGTATGGTCTGATCTTCCCTTTGTTTGTGAGTTTCTTCTTCGACGTTCCTCGCGTAGCTCAAACACACATTTTAGGCATCCCTGTGACAGGAAAGACGTTAACATACCTGTTAGGATTGCAGGTGTGCTCCACTTCAATAGCAACAGTCATCTCAGGCCTGTGTGGCATTGTAAGTATTTGTCTAGTGGCTAATTTACTTTTGCCTCATTTGTATTGGAATTAAAGTTACTAAAGCATGAAACTGATCTTCTGTCTCTGTGTAGTGGTGTGCTTAATAATGGAGCTTTGTATCCACTCTGTACACAGGAGTTAAAAAAGTGTGCATTATATTGGGACATCCGTAGCTGTAACAGCATCAGTTGGAAATTACAGTGTTTCTGTTGGAAGTCTAATGACATTTCTAACTAACTAGGTGGCTTACAAAACCCGAAGGTTCATCACCGAACTAACCAAAGCTTGGTATAATTTTTCATAACAGTACTGTTTTCTACGGTGAAAGGTTGTTAGCCTCACGCCCAACCCCCAAGCTGGAGGACTACCCCTTGTCAGCTGACGGCGACTGCTTATTCAATATATTCGAAGCTACCCTCCATAAATGGAGGCTGTTCCTCCATCCACAACCTGAGGATGCACCATGCTATGGTGACAGGGACCCACCAAACATTGTTAATGACATTCCTATAAGGAGAAATTTCAACTTTCATTTGTGGTAGAACTGATGTTAATTTTAATCCACATTTTAGTTTGCTATGTGTATAAACAGTTGAATTGGTTAGTAGATGGGCCCATATCCATGATATCAAATTTGTTAGGAGCCACAAAAAACTGTCCCTCACCCATACTAAATTGGGTATCTTAATAGTCCTTTTTGTGCCATTAAAGTATAGTAAATGAAAGTCTTTGCATCGTTTTTATGTTATAGCAGTACTACTTTTATTTAATATGGTGTGTGTTAGTTGGTGGATTAGGGCCCTTTTTCTGATGAACTATTTGAGAGGCCTGTAAATAATCATAAAAATTGGCAGATCTTTATATTTATACAAAAATTTGTAATATATTCCCATAATTTTATATGAACACATACAACTAGCTGTACAGAAAAATCTGGTGTTTTAACATTAATTGAATGGCCTGGGAAAAAGAAAATAGTCAACATTATGTGAGTTATCTTTCATTGTCAAGGTTGAACTTGACATAGTAGCTTTAAACTGTTGCATTAGTTTTATATTTTTTCAGTCAAAGGTCATCTACTTTTACTGGATTTATTGAGACTTTTTTGACTTGCTGATAATTTACATCACATTTTTCCCTGGTGTAAGGCTGATTAAGTTAGACTTTCTTCTGCTTAATAGGTGCAGCTTCTAAAATACTACATCTGCACATTAAAAATGTATGTTGGCCCAGATAGTGGACTTGTGCCCTTGTTCTACTAACCAGTTCAGTTGGATTTATCATTCACTGGCTACTGTTTTGAGACTGACTGTAGAAACTTTGATGAAAAACAAACAACTTGACTTTAAAAATTCAAGTTTTGAGAAAATGTGTGTTATATCAGAGTGTTCTGTTACAGGTGGCTGGTCTCATGTATCGATACAACATTCTGTACCTGCGTCGTTGGTTCTTGGTGCCACGATGGATGGCTAAATTGAGCAGTATGTCAGTTGGCTGGTTGTTGCGCTCTGGTACACCACAGGAGGGAGCTATTGGTGCTACGCTGGAGATTCAGCGTGCACAGCAGCTGGAGATGCTAGAGCAGCAAGTGTTACTGAGTCGTGCACGTGATGTGCGTAGACAGGTCAGTATCATGTCATCTAGAGAGTGAATGCCTATAAATTTAGGTAATGGTAATACTAGAATATCAGTGTACTGTACATACTTTCGGAATCTCTACTCCTAAATTTGTGAAGGAAGTCATTTATTTTGTCATTGCATGGTTAGAAAAATGTGTGTGTTATTTCCTTTAACCTGTTCCATACACTTGATTAAAAGTAGCGTACTATTTAGGGGACAGTCAAGATTTATAAGTATAATACAACAGTATAAAGAAAATGTTTTGATGTATGGCTATTATCCTAATCAAATTAATTTTCATTAGTAAATCCATGCTAATATGCTTGTTATGGCACCATGATATTCTCACAAGAAAGCACTGTGTACTGTCTTCCCTTTCTTGTAGAGTAACACACACTCTTGTAAGAAACTCTTTTATTCCTGATAATCTGTAGCATTGTGGTTGGCGTCCTAGACTATCAGTTTGTTACATACATTCTCTGTTTAATTTTATGAGTATTTATTAATCTGTAGCAAACAAATGTTTTCTCAGCAGGGACAAGGCTTTGCAGAAACTTTGGTGGGCCCTGAGAACTACTGGCCTAATCAAAATGGAACAATCTTTGAAGGTTTCCTCAGGAACAGGAGGCACAACGCTGTAGATGCTGAAGGTAATGCATTTTAATTTGTATGTTTCTACAGGAGATTGCACAGTAAACTGGGATATTCACAGGCTTTTGTCATATTTCAGAAATCAGTAGTGTACTTAAACAAATAACTGTACTTATTTTGGTTTGTAATTACATATTCACTTTGCTCCAGTTTGTAAGTGGGGAAGTATGTCATTTAAAATGAGAAAAGTTCAGTTGTGTAACCATATTATTGCCATTTGTCTTTGAAAACTAATTTTTCTTCTATTTTGTTGGAGCAGTAGATTTTCATATCAAAGTAAAGAAGTTAATATCATGCATGAAGTTGTAGTATCAGTCGGGAGTGTTAACCACATGTTTTTACTTATGAGTCTAACTTATTCTTCCATGATTCATATAGAATGCATATTATCTACCATATGTTTTTGATACAGTGTTTATCTAACAAAAAACTGTTGATGTGCCATACGTGTGATCACATGTGGCATACAGACTTTAATTGGGTTCTTTATACCTCAGATTTATTAAGTGCTGCTTGTACATTTTTCTGTCAGGTGTAGTGACACTGTAATGCTGTACCTTGTTTACTCCTGCTTAACATGCAGTTTTTTTAATTATTTGTTCTTAAAATTAGTGTGTGTTATACATGAAACATATTTAAAGGAGTGAAGGAAATGTCCACTTCTTTGCCACACAGTAGAATGTTGTTATCTGATCTAAGCTAATACTTATTTGTTTGCAATATGCAATTTTATTTAAAGTGTTTCATGAATCAACAATTCATTAACATGTTTGTGCCATTCATTGTCAACCATTATCATTACTCTCACCTTCTTTTTCAGTGTCATTAATCATAAAATCCTCACTCCCATCCATATCATTAGAAATTCCAGTAACTTTGAAACTTTTCTCCACAATTTTTGGAGAAGTTGAGCATCATGCTGCAAGGATCCAGTCACACATTGACAGCAGTTGTGTGCGCTTCATTCTGCTGCTTAGCCTCAGTTCATGCGCCATGTTTGTCATCCATTGGTTGTAGTGCTGCTAGAAAGCAACCTTGATTGGCTGATCAATCACAACATCCAAAGGCTGCAAAAGCTTGGTCATCCCACCTGGGATTACAAGATGAGGATCCTCATTAACATTTTCATTCACCCTTTTTGGTCCATACTGATTTTGTGAAAGTTAATCATCTAACTCGAAAAGTCATCATCTGCTTCTCCCTTATTATCATCGTAACTGCTTTCTGTCACTTCTCAAAGTACATTCTTGTCCTTCAAAGTTTAGCCATGTGTGTTAGAACATGGCACAGATTTGCAAGAGAAACGTTAGACTGCTAGCCAGCACAAAATAACATGCAGTTGTTTGGTTTGACATGATTTCCATTGACAAATGTGAGTCCTTCAAAGCAAACCTTAAGTAAATCAATGGCTACTGATATATTGCAGGAGTCATAGTAAAATCATGTGACAATTTGAATCAAAGAATATTTCATTTTGAGGCTAGTCTTGTTATGGGTCTAGTTGAATAAAGTGTAATGTTGATTCCATCTCATTACTGGATTGCAAAGGGTTGCAATCCACTTTTATACTATCTTCCTACTTATTTATACGTCTCACCAAGTAGTATTTTCTGTTCAGACTTTTTTTACTATGATTTTGTGCACATTTCTTCTGTGTGTGTTGCATGTCCCACCCATTTCACCCCCTTTATTTTGATTGCCCTAATAATATGTGAACATACAAATTATGACACTCCAAAAGTGCAGTTTTCTCCAGCCTTCTGTTGCTTTCTCCTTTGGTCCAGTTATTCTCCTCAACATGCCGATTTCAGACATCCTCAGTCTATGTTCTGTTAGAAGATTAACAGACCACGTTATTAAGCAGTACATTAACTTTTTGTGTGTCCATTATAGAAAATAACATACAGCCATCAGAGGAGCAAGTGCAGACATTAATGGAAATGGGATTTGAACGTGCACGAGTGCTAAGTGCCTTGCGTAATGCAAATAATGACATTCACAGTGCAACAAATATCTTGCTTCACGAGTCCTGAACTCTTACCGGCACATGTAAGAAAGTGGTCATGTGAAACTGACTTGACTAATGGTCTGCAATTATGGGAGACAAATACAAAAAACAGTTTACCATCAACTTTTCTTTCTACTGTCTCATTTGTACAGGACTTGGTAGTGGCATGATTGCGTGGTCATGTGATAGCAATAAATGATTTGAAGTTTGTAGCGTGAAGCATATCTGATGTTCGGATCTTGGAGTGGACTGTGTGATGACTGAACACTATATATATTGGTTTATATACAATAGTATACACAAAATTCAGGTGTTACTGGTGGTGTTGCACGCAAGGGCATCTATATTGTGCACATTATTTGAACATTTGTAAAACTAATTTGAATCGTAATATTTTATTATTCTTTGATTTTGTTTTGTAAAGAAGACTCTTGACATTTAATTGGACTAGTTTTTTGCTTTTAAACTTGTCTTGAAAGTGTGGGTTTTCATAAGTCAGGCTGAGACGTTAATATATCAGGTGGACCATGTGATTGTGTTTGTTATTGTAATGGGCAGCAGAGTCTGATTCTGACTGTACCTTTTAAATAAATTATTTGCTTGTTACAACTGTGAAAGAGGGGTCACATGTGACTGTTACCAAAGTAGCTCGCCTATGTGACAACAACCAAAATAAACTCCTGTGAGTGACTTTCATGTATTTACTTGGGAGACAAAATATTAAATGACTGCTCTTGGACCAAATTATGTTATATCACTGCAAGTGAAACATACCATACGAAGAAGTGTTTGGGTATTTAGTTAGTGCTGCAAAGCAGACTTAAAGTAGTACTGAATAATCAGGTAGCAATGTACAAATGTTTTATGTAATGGATAAAGGGTAGCAGAAATGTTTCAGAAGTTGATGATATGTACAGTTACCATAAGAAGTAATATAGAGATTTTAGTTTTCAATAAATATCAATGGAACTATTTGGTAAAGCACAGTGAAATCTCTCTGATTAGTCTTACAGTCTGCCTGTTATGCTGCAGGTGCAATTTGGTGGAGGTTGATTTTTAAAAATTTATGTTTGCAGTCATCTGCACTAACAATATTTTTAATAGTGGTATAATTTTCTATACAAAATTTTTTATTTTATGGAATCAAGTAAAATACAGGCATGAAACTAAATTAATAAAAAAAACTATCATCTGAATTGGAACTGATGTCTGAAAGATTCGGTGTTGATGAAACTGGTACATGTATTCAAAATGAATCCCTGTTTTCTTTATGTTGGGGGGCCTATGCATGTGATGTCCTGACTTCATATCATGCCTGAGACATCATTATAACTCATTATTCCTGCAGTTGTATATAGTACTCAAAATCAACAGGTTCTTGGAGAAGATTATTTGTTTAAACATTTACAGTGACATGTTTTATAGGTAAAACAATTAACTTTCTGGACATTATACATCATCTTGTTTGTTTTATATATATATATATATATATATATATATATATATCAATACAGTATCATCACAAACCTTTAGATTTATGTTGTGTAGAGTCTCTGCCACACACATGAATTGTTTCTGCTGTGTATACCCACGCTACCCGTATTAGGTGCAGTGCTCTCTGTCTGAGCCATTCAAATCACGATATATAAACGTTGGCTGACATGATTTTCCATTACTTTTCTAGCTTTTTGGTGTTTCAAGTCGTTCTTGTATTTTTGGCATTTCTTGATTGTATAGAATTTTATATTTTAGTTGGGTCACTGGCATCACGCTCTCACTATCAAATAAACAGATTGCTCCAACAGTGAGTACATTTTTAGAAGGGGTAATGTTTTTAGGACAGTATTCAGCGTGCCATCGCGGCTTCAAGTCATTTCTTCGCTCAGACAGACAGTACTTAATTTGGTGATTATTGATGCTTGTGATATTAAAAATCTCTTGTAACATTCGGATTTGTAGAGAGCTGATGAAATGCATACAGATCTCTGGGAAGACTTTCATTATCGTCAGATTTTGGGAAGTAACGTTGACTTGTAACAGGTGAATATAATGAGGAAATTCTCCAAATGTTTGTGTTCAGGGAACATATTTTGTAACTTTTCTTTGGTACTAGCAAGTGGAGGCTCAAATTCATAACTAGGGAAGTATGTATCCGAAATTTGTTATTGGTTAAATACTTACTGTATACCGTTAGTTATTGAAAAATTTATTTTTTCTTGTCAGTTGAAAACTTTCTTCGTTTGGAAACGTAGAAGATAGATCAGAAATTTTTGAGAGCGGTGAAGATTAAAAGAAAGCTACACTGAAACAAGAGTAGTTGTAACAAACCAGTATACTTCTTATGTTAGAGGTATTAATGGCATTTTATTGCTTGCTTGAAAAATTTTCCTTCTTATTTCATTTCATTGGCAGATTCCATAGAAAGATGACTATCATTTCTCACAAATTTTTGACTGTTGTTGAAGTGAGCAGAGTGAAATGGGGAGTTTTAAATTCCTTTTTTTGCCCCAGATCATATTTCAAGTTCTACCCAAAATGTAAGTGATAATTTGAATGCAATTTAGGCAAACCAAATTAATAAATTTTGTTGTTTTATGATGGAGTATGTTAAGAACGGAGGTAAAACAGAAGTCTGAGAGAAACCTGTTAATTTATTATGGTGAGAATGAATATACATGACATTGCCTTTTTTTTACTCTGCTCACAAGGAACTCGGAAACATTCATTTCCATGGTGATGAATATGAATCGTCTAGGGTCTGGTTTAAGAAAAGTTATTTTTACAGAAAAAAGTTAATTTTACAGAAGATGGGATCGCTACTGGAAATACATAAAGAACTGTTTATTTCCTTTTCGCATGTTGTGTTCTGGTTTCTAATCCAGGCGTAAGATAATTATCCATTATTTCTGCTATAAGTTTTACCGTCATCTGAATTCCAGTGGTTGAAGCTAGCTAATAACGACTGTATATGATGTCAAAATTTAGTTTTTAAGGAGTTTAAAAGATCTGCATTATGCAGTGTAAAAATGTGTTGATTTAATTCCAAATACCTCTCTAAGAAAAATATGGGGAAGCTGATAATTATGTTGCACAGTTTTAAACTTCACTTGGTTCTTGTCTTCCAGGCAGGGTCCCAATTGGAAAGGATTCAACCAAAACAATTGATTTTACTGGTTCTGATTGAAAATGTTATAAAATTGCCTCACTTTTTGTAGCATTACACGAGGTCTTAAAGTGTAAAATACAGAAAGGTTTATTAGTTCAGTATCGTAATGTAATTTTTACCTGTTTGTCATAAGAAACTTTCATACCCATTCTTGTACATCACTTTTGCACCAAATTCATTACGTATTATTACTCTGAAGAGTGTGATTCACTGGAATATAAATAAGTTTTACATGAGCGTTGTGAAACGGTGATACTTGATCATTGAAATACCAATGGTTACAACGAATGCTGTACAGCAGTTTAATCTCCAATGTAGCTTTTACATCGTACCAAAGGTCTGCAGTACTTCCATAAAAAAGTTATGGGTTCTTAAAGTTTATTGATGAAAATTTCATTTGAGTTGTAATAAAGTTTTAGTGAAAGGCTTTAAGTATGTACAAAGTGGAAAAAATAAAACTCTGTAAGAAAAATAAAAAAAGTCCGTTTTATTGAATAATAGTTTATGTGGATAAGTCAGATTTCCAAACCAGTTGGCTAACCATATGTTTTCATGGCCTGTGTTCCATATGTCTCTTCCTTGGAAGCAAACATATTTAATCTAAACTTTGCAGTTGAGTGAAATGACGTGTCAATATGAACTGTATTTATGGTTTCTTTCCATATGGTAGAACATATCTTAGACAGCAAGATTTGTATCGGTGGTTCTCGATTATTGCTAAAAGTCCCTGTAAAATATACATGAATCCCTCATACAAGGTCATGTGAAGTAACATTAATGCAGAAATAGATAATAGATAAACCAAATGTAATTTAAATTCGTTTGTCTAGAACAGTGCAACATTTGTACAAGCAGATATGGAGATGTCATTAGCATTGCTATCTGTTCTGCGATTTACGATCCATGAAGTTTCATTTTCTAAGTAAGCACACTTGAAATTCATGCAGGTAAATTTAACGGAAATGTTAGGCCTGCGTGAGTTGGTGTGCTTGATATAATAGTTATTTCGGTATACGATGGCAGAAAGTGAGTGCAAATATGAAAATAACCAGGCGTACTTTAAGTAAAGTGCATAATTACCGACAAGAACACTTAAAATAAATCGACACGTGAAGTTCAAGACATTCAGCAGTACATGTAAGTAACCAAACGTTTAACTCCGAAAATGTCATGCAAAAGACAAAATTGCTTTTGGCTGATACACGTCTTGAAAAAAAGTCAAGCCATGTTAGAAATAAGTCGAAACACAAGCCGCGTCTGTTGTGATGCAGTGGCGTAGAAATATTAGGACATATCTTTACAATACGATAGCCGGTTGAGTTAAGTATTTACTTCACGGCTATAACCTTAAATTAAACCCAAAGTCATTCATAGGTTAGGGGAATTTGATCAGCTGCATTACTGTGTTGGGTATAGTAGTTACAAGTTAACCTCAACCGCAGGACACATTATTTGTGGTCACAGTGTTCTGTAAAAACGTGATATGGGTATTGACTCTGTAGTCTTGAAGGTGGTTTCTCCGAACCACTGGTAACACCCTACAGGGTCACGCGGCTTTACAACCCAGACAACCACAATCAACGTCATCTCCGTGATAACCTAAAATCTCATACAGTGTTTTAAATTGTACTACTTTGTTTCTTTGCATTCGTTTTATGCGTAAAATGGACATTGGTTTAAATGAGAATATATCCGCCAACTTATATAGGGGCATTAATTGGCCTTATTTTTTAAACACGTACTAAATTAAAGTATTTATAATGACACTTATAAATAGTAAAAAATTAACGTATGTCTTCGAGCACTGAGCATTTTGCACCGGACAAAAGGCTAGGCTTGTTATTATTTTTGTAAAAGCGGTGGAGTTAAAATAATAACAGAACAAATGTTTATAAGTATTTTTCTCAGTAGGTGAATCGGCCTTTGTTCCCTTTCTCTAAACAGGTGTTCCCATTTAATTGCTAAATGTTGGGATTTACCATGTAATTTTAAATGCTGTTATGAAATGTGGGGACTCTAGAGCAAGGCCTGGCGATTTCCTTTTGGTTTTACTCTGGGATTTTCCTGTTTTCTGTCTTTATTGCGTGTTACTAAAGTGTTCACTTAACAAATAGGTGAATCCCAGTGATTCATCTGTGTGCTTGCGTGTAGAATCTAAGAAATATGAGTACTTGTACGGAAATTCCTTCAAAGAAGAATGCGCTTGGATCTCTTAAGAAATGCATGTTATGTTCATCTGATTCGCCGTGATCAGCGGATCAGATGAATATAAGATGTAATGTAGGCCTATGTTTAATTCTACTTCTTCTTTGCTAGCCTGCAAAAATATTCTTGCTTGTACCATGGATTTATACAGCTCACTCTGCAGGGCAGCACCAGTATTTACATGTAGGCTACTGCCCGATTTAACCCGTTAAGTTTTAGTCGTTCCTGCGTTAACATAATAGCAGTAGTTTATAGTTGCCTGAAAGTCAGTTTCGTAAGTTTTTATTTTTCCTGTTTGGAGAAATAATTCTCCCCTCATGGTATTTTCATTCTGGTTAAAGATAATATCGTGATTGATGATGATACTTGAAAAGTTTTACTTGTCTATGTTCTTCCTGTGTCACGCTGTGGAACTCCTGGCGTGACCCCAATGTCCGGCGTCAAAAGACTTATCATCTGTCAACAGTCGCAATTTCCAGAGCGGAACAGTGTCTTTTGAGCGACTGTGGCCTGTAGCGTGATTATTTATACGTTTTTGTGAAGTTGTGTTTATTGATTTAGAAAGCAGTGGAAGGCTTGAACTCAGTGAATGCATAATTGGGAGTTCATGCCTAT